GTTCCCCTTCCACGGATCTCACAGAAAAATGATTAATTTTAATCGGAACCCAAACCCTAGAGCGTCTCTCCCTAACCCTGATCGATCAAAACATTAATCATCACATAATTGCTCGATTAATTAAACTAATTAACTCGTAATGCATGTAAACAACCCCAATTAAAGTGCGATTATTGTCCGATTAGGTTTTCTCGGTGACAGAATTTAAGGAGATCAAATGGAAAGACAAAGGGGGAGTAGGATAAGGAGCTTACCTCCGGGAGCGCAAGATAGAGAACGGCGTGGTTAACGTGCGCCGCGGAGAAAACACGAGTGCGAAAGCGTAAGATAGAAGAAGCCCTACTGTCACCGGAAAGAGAGAAACAAGGAGAGAGAGAGAGAGTAGAGAGAGTAGAGAGAGTAGAGAGAGAAAATAAACGAAAAATGAGGCTAAGCACGAGTGGGGAGGAGAGGAGAGGAAAGTCAGGAATGGTTTTCTTGTCTTCTTGTTTCCTCCCCTTTACTTTATATTATTTATACTTACACCCCATAGACTTCTGTGATTTTGATTATTCTCGTACTTTATATTTTCACATTCGCCCTCTAATCAATGGACTGTGGAGTACGGACACCGTCAGACAGTTTTGTTTCTGGTTTTGTTCTGGGATCTGGACCAAAAGCAAGAACAATTGTTTGGCTTTGTAATTCCTTCATTTGCCATTTTGATCAACTGGTTTGTTGTTTTGGAAGACTGCCACTTTCTCCAACTGAACTGTTTTTCGTGTAGGATAAGAATAACGCAACGTATCATATCAATTGAGGATTTGAGTACTCCTAAGCTGATTAAAAGTATCTTAATCCCTTGTTCAAAATGTGTTTAATGACTGTCTTTGTTTATTGTTCCATGTTGATCATGTTTGAAACATAATCAAACTAAGCGCCCCAATGGGTAGCTTCAAGCCAATGCAAGGTACCAACGAGTAGCTCCATCCCAATCTCACGTTAATCACTATCCAACAGATGTGCAATATTAGTTGCTTCCGTAGATTGTAACTCACCATGACACCTGTAGTTTATGAGCAAAACAAGACACGTAATACACATGTGAAATCTCAACAAAAACAAAAAAAACGAAAAAAAAAAAAGTTGTAAAGTACATAAACATGTTATGAAGTAAGAGCTTCTCCAATGGGAGGCTTCCACCACCTTTAAGGACTCATTTAGGAATTTAAAGGAAATTTTTGTATCCCTAATGGAATATTGTCTCCAATAGTAGAGTTCTTATAGTATAATACCTAAATACAGAGACTAAAATGTTATTGTTTATTTCGTTGAAGTATTGTAGCCGTTGATAAAAACCAAAAACCTATGAAAAAGAAAAGGAGAAGTTGCAAAAAAACAGAAAGAGAAACAACATGCCCACATGACAAGAGTATGATTCTCTCTCCTCTTTTTTTCCCTCTCCTTCCCTCCCCTCCTATTTGAACGGTCTCACGGTTAAGCCATGTCAACATCTTATATTAATTTTTTATAGAAAGAGAAAGACAAAATAGAGAATGTGAGAGAAGGGGATGGAAAGAGGAGGGGAGAGAATCCTAATCCATACAACATGGGTGGGTTCAAAAAGCAAGAAAAAAACAAAGGAGTTTTAACGAAACACTTGCAGTACTATTCACTTTTAACGAAAAACCAAATTTTTACCTTTTCCTGATACTATTTACTCGCGGTACTATGCACAAAATGAATATAAATATCAAGTTTTTCTTTATGGGCCGAGTAATAGAAAAAAAAAAATCCTTTCTTTGCGTAGTTGTCTTCTCCAAGAAGATGCCACCATTGCAGCCTGCACTGGCCGTCATATTTAAGTACGAGGGGTTCCTAGAAAATTTCAAAGCACAATTTAGGGTCTCCAAGGGGTCCTGGGACCACTCTTTGAGTCCCTATAATATACTCCTCATATTTGAGGATTTCTTTAAGGTATCCGGCGAATCCCTATATCTTGAGATACTTTAAAGACTTCTATTCCGAATTATTAGAAGCCTTTTGTCCCTTTGTTTTGGGACTATATACGATGTTGGAAATTTTGAGTAGAAATTTCATTGTCCCACATTGGCCAATCCTAAAAGATTTCCTAACTTTATAAGGATTTGTCTCTTATAGATAGTGATTAGAGTGATAGACCATTGAGAATGAAATTGGGCTTAACCTTGGGATTGGGCTTTGGAGTGTACTAATTCATTGATAATTAATATATATAATTAATTATCAAAAGATGGGCCTTGGGGTTGGGCTTTGGGAATACTACTTGATTGATTATTAATATATATAATTATTTTTAATTAATTTCGAATTTAATTAAATTATTTTTTTTATCATCTTTTCATATGAAGTTTGAAGTCAATGAAAAAATGCAGAGAGCACAGCACCCCTCTGAAGAGATGTCTCCCAACAGTCACATCTCATTCTCATACATGTTGTGAACAGACATAATCTCATTATATATACAGCCATCTACATGGCATTTAGAACACAAAAAATCAACATTCTTCTTCTACAATCACAAATATCCTTTATGAGAGAACCACACAGAAATTCACCAAAAGTTAAATTTTCAGGTGCTAGAATTCTGACTTAATCGTTGAATCCTGGTGAAGTAAACGTCTGTAAAACTACAAGCACTGAGTAAGGATGAAATTTCTGTTTCAAGGACATTGCAGTACACAAGCCTCGATCTTCAATATTTCTGTTTAATATTATTTCATTATTCATACACTATTAATTAGTTGTTTGCATTTATTATTTGTTAGCATATATAAATTTATCACAGATTGTTGACATATATCCAACATACGATTGTAAGACTCTATTTAGGGTCTCCATTGAAAATGCTCAGTGGGTTTAATTTTTGTAGTGCTAGAGCCTAGAGAGATGGTTATATGCTTGAAGCCAATTTATGTATGTATATATAGTCCCCTTATATAACGGCCCGCCCCGAAATATTTATTTTCGGGAAAGAGTATCGGTGATAGGGCCCAAACTAAACTATTGTTTAGTTCACTACCAACATCCACGATTCTTTAATTAAATTTCTAGATTCCACTCACAATCTACAACCATAATTCACTTTTCAACACATACTATTATATTTTTGTTTTATTATTAATTCCTTCTCTTAGATCAAAATTTCAACTAAAGATGTAATTTCGATTAATTTACCTCATTTATTTTATGGTTGCATCTAACTTCACGTTAGACTGCCTACGTACCCTAAACAGGGATCAAGTCATTCCTAGTTTGCCAATTCAATTTCAAACCCATTCCAAAAATATTCAATTATCCAAAATATCCAACATTCGTGTTAATACTCGAAACACGTCCAATTCGATACCAAAAAGCATAGTTGTAATAAAGAAATTCGCATAAAAACGTGATGTCAGCTTGCCAGCCATGTGCCGCCGCACACGCTGTCGCAGGTTGCGGTCGGGCGCCTCAACTTGTCGAAAAATTTCACTGTTTCTAAAAATTCTCAAATTTTACAGAAATGTAGAGCAAGTCAACTTTTATACCTGGGCCGAAGTTCAATTCGGCGGGAAAACACCTGAATGTAGCCATGAACCGCTGGAACCCTAGAATTTGGGTGGCCTTAATCTGCCACCACCGGTGCTCCGCCGCCCCAACCAACGCCTGGGCTTTGTTTCTGGGTTCAAGGAGAGTCTAATGGTGGTGGTAATTCAATCAAAGCTTTTCAAATTTGGTAAATCTCGGCCAAAAGTCTTCGCGGCACCCACAGTTCCCGTCAGGGTATTTTACCCAAATCCAAGGCCAATTTCCATGAATTTTTTTGTTGTAAATGAGAGAGGGAATGTCGGGAACCCATTTCCAAGTGATAATTCAAGGTAAGTCGTTTGAATTCGGCCGGAAAATGCATAGGAAACCATGGTTTCCGTTGGTCTGGTCATGAAAAGGGGAAACGGGTTGAGAAACCCGGTTGTCTACCTCTCTCTCTCTCCCCTTTTCCTCCTGCTCTCCTCTTCTCATTGATCCCCCCCAACCCTCCTTTCTTCCCTTCTTTTCTTCCCCTGGCAAATTTCCACTAAAACAGAACTAGAGCCTTCCAGATTCATGGCAAAATAACTATTTTGCCCCTACTTTCGTTCGTTTATATTTCATTCTTTATAACACCGTTTCACGAACAGTTTTCGCCTACACACTCGTAGGGTCGTCCTTTATCCAAATATCTCAAGAAATCTGATAAAAATATATAAGGATAAAATATGTCCTCGTATAATTACGTTAAACCAAATAGGGCATTTTCGTCTTTTTCACTTAACGATAAATTTTTCAACATAATTTATAATAATTTCCATAACAAAACTATAAAAGTTCTCAATTCAATTTTCCATACCCATAAATTGATTTAATTTCGATTTTTCTCCACATATTCATATATTAAATTTTTAGGGTATTACACCTTATGTTGAGGGATTTTTCAAATAAGCTTGCTCGAGGATACTTGTAGTGCGCATTTCATAACACCTTTCAACAATGCGAACAATTTCTATTTTATTTCATCATTCATGTATCATCCTTACAAAAGATTAAAAAAATCCAAAATCATTAGAATATCCAAATGTGAAAAAAAAAAATAAATAAATACAATTCTTGAAAAAAAACGCTAAAATGATTGCCTTCTAATTAAGTGGTAAAATGATTTTGAATTTTGATTAATTTTTGCAATGGTAATCTACGAATTAAAATATGAATGGTAAATGATTGGATCTGTTGGATATACGCCTTAAAAGCAATCAATATTAGTGAATAGTCCACTAATTAATTGCAAGGGCAAGATCACTATAGTAGAAGAACTATATATATATATACTTAAACTCAAACTTACAAGTTAATTCGTATTATGTCCTTGCATACTCAAAACACTGTTACTTGTACAGTGTTTTTCTGTTTTTCTCTTATTTTTTGTTATTTCATGTATGCCCGTGTTATCCACTCGTCGATGGTGGATGCCTCTCCAACTCTGCAGTCCTACGTGCGTTCAAATAGGTCTCCTCTAAAATTGCTACCACGTTTTAAGAGAGATGGCGTGGTGCTGCCACTTTCTAAAACTAAAAGAGATTGATATCTGAAAGGGATGAATCCCTTCTTTTTCCATTGCTCTCAACCTCCAACTGCAGAAGTAGCTCAAGCTCCTCCTTACCGACCCTCTTTCTCTCTCCGACTCATCCCATTTTGATTCCCCTCAATCCCATTGCCAATGGCGTCCAAGTCCAAAATCCTCTTCATCGGCGGCACCAGAAAGTTCATCGTCGAGGCCAGCGCTAAGGCCGACCACCTACCTACTTTCTGGTCTGAGAAATTACCCTTTCCAACCCGGCAAAGTCCAAAGTCCTCGAGAACTTCAAGGATCTGGGCGACAAGTTTATCCTGGTTTGTAAAATTCCCAGCATTTTGTAGCTTTTTAATCCGATTAGCAAATTGGGTTTTGCTTGATTTGTATTTTTTTTATAATTTACAGGGTGATGGTACGATCACGAGAGCTTGGTGAAGGCGATCAAGCAATATATTTAACACTAGGAGCTAAAATCTTTGCACTGCCTTATAATTACTTTTCTGTGAATTGTCCTTACTTTAAGTTTTTCATATTTCATAATCTTCTTTGCACAAAATCGCTGGTTAATTCCTGATTTCATGCATATATATGTTACCATTTCCATAATCATTTAATATTTCCTGTTAGATAGAACCTCATTACATATTTCTCGAAGTTTTACTCAACACCAACTCTAATAAATTTGTCATGTTTCACTAATTTAGCCATTTGGTCAATACTACTCTAATCTTTTAGATGAGTCACTAAATTTCATTTTTTTGGTACATTTTAAACTTGACTTGAAAAAATATGTCTACCAACAAAACAATGCTAATACTTTTTATTTTATGTTAATTACACACAAAACTACCTCAACTATGGATCGAACCACAATCTCATATCTCATGTTTTAAACATTGCAATATCATACCTCAACTTATGAATTCATTGCAATGTCGGACCTCCGTTAATTTTTTTGTCAATTTTGACTGTTAAATGATGACGTGGCAGGAACAGAGCCTACTCCTTTGACAATTGGAATAAAAAATTATTAATTAAAATTATTAATTTTTTATTTACAATTAAAATCAATTAAAAAAATAACTCTCTCAGCCGCAACCCTCCCTCCCCGTTCATCCCCAATCCTCCGTTACCCCCCTCCCACATTTTCCAAGCAACCAAACAAACCAAAGCATATAATTTTTTTAAGAAAAAAAATGATTTCTTGCATCAGTGGAGAATACGCGCAGATGAAAGAGAGAAGGAAATAGAGAAGACACGCAGACTACCTCACCGAAAGATCTCATCCCTTGACTCTATCGAGTTTCTCCTCCCTCCCCAGAACGACGCCTTCCACTACTCCAAAATCCCTAGCGCCCTTGATTCCACTAGCAACGGCAACCACATCAGCAACGGCGATGGCGATTACACCGCTTTAGATTCTCACGACACAGTCGAGAGCTCCATTGCCGATCTTTAGAACCTTGACGACGGTTAGACGAGGATTGGGAAAGTCTCGATCATCGCCAAGTCCAGAAATCGCCAGCAGAAAGCTCATATGGTAGCCGGATATCGAGTTCAGGTGGCTTCCATGATAGAGGACTCACCGTAGACGGCCATCAAGAAGCTACAAGAGAGACACAAGGAGAGATAGTGTTTTTAATAATTTTAATTTTTTCAGATAAAAAATTCTTCACTTATTTAATTTTTAAATAATGACTGGGTCCCATTATTGCCAAGTCATCATTTAACAGTTAAACTAATAGAAAATTTAATAGAGGTCTGAAATTGCAACGAATTCATAAGTTAAGCTATGACATTGTAGTGTTTAAAACATGATGTATGAGATTATGGTTTGACTCATAGTTGAGAATGTTTTGTGTAATTTACCTTACTTTTTATACAATTTCATGATTAAATGCAGGAAAATACGATCAAGGATTTACAGCGATTTCACCATGAGAAGCAAATACTTCTTCATTTTATGCTTGCCACAGGGTTGACAAACAAGTTCAACAATTTAACCTCAGTTTGTTTCGTAAATTTCATTTTTGTTATTAACAACATAACCTTATTTTAGATATTCCCATCTTTTATGTATGTACTGTTCGTTTAAGGCAAATTTAACAGATGCTTTACTAGAGATATCAAAGTTTTACTAAAAATATCATTAGCTTTTATCTTTTTCAACTTAAGACAATAATTTTGAATCACACATGATAATTAGCCTGCAAACATGCATCTCTTTGTGACAAAATGTCAATCTACAACATCTTCTATGCTTTTGGTAAGCAAGTACCTGAGAGTTGACAATTTTATTCTCATTAGTTTTGTTTTGGGTTCGTTATTATTCGATTCTAACAAATGCGTTTTTGTTGTTTGTGGATCGTGTGTTCAATCAATATTTTGCAAATTCTACAATTTTATACCTTCTCACTAAAGACATTATTCACGCTGCAACTAAACGATTCAATGATATCAGGAAAAATTAGGACTTTATCAGCATGGTTTTTTTCTTTCACATCATCTGTTGGAAATTTTGTCACCAAGGGATTGAAAAAAAAAAGTACGCGCCTTTACTCGAACAATTTATTTCATGTTCTAATTCAGAATTATAGATCATGGTATTGTCTACCAATATAAAAAGAAAGATTGTGAAATCATGGGATATTATGAAAAGCATGATGTTTTCCAAAATTATTTGGTTGGCAATCTTACTCAGTCATTCGAATCGAAGGACTCCAATTGCTATTTATCTTACTATTAATAACGGGGAATCCGTGAAAAACATGACGACTTCTTTTGGGACACCCCTTGTAACATCCCACATCGTCCAAGGGAGTTGGATCCTGTAAGCCTTATATGTATATTCTCATCTCTACCTAGTACAAGGCCCTTTGAAAGCTCTGGCTTTGGGTTCCATCGGAACTCTGAAGTTAAGCGAGTTTAGGCTAGAGCAATCCCAGGATGGGTGACCCACTGGGAAGTTTTGCTCGTGTGAGTTCCCAGAAACAAAACTGTGAGGGCGTGGTCGGGCTCAAAGCGGACAATATCATGCTACGGTAGAGCCGAATCCGGGATGTGATGAGGGCCCAGACCGGGATGTGACCACCCCCGCCCCCACCCCCCCAAAATTCAAAACAAAAAAAAATGCCAAAATCAGGTGGCTTGAGAATAAGTGTTTTTTAGATAGAATATTGCAATTGAATCATCAATTAAGTTACAACTTAACACAAATGTGTAGAAAGGTTAATAACAAAAGTTCAAGAAATAAGTATTATTTGTCTTAATAGTAGTTATATGTGTGGTGTGTGGTGTTGTAAAATAAATATTATGTGTGTTGATTTTTTAAAGAGATAAGTACACTTATATATGATAGCTTTTTATTAAAACGAATTATATGCATGATATCTTTTTTACTATAAATGATTATATTCTTTGTCACACATTATTGTACAACAATCTGTGTGACAGATAGATCAACTAATCTTTCTACCCATTATCAATTTTTTTACTTACTAATTCACATGCAGCATATGAAAAAAATTATAACTATTTTTACAAGATTCTTTATTTGGTTGATCTAATTTGTAGCAGAGAACCAAAAAAAAAAAAAAGAAAAAAAAGAAAAGGTTATTCTCAAGTTGAAGATCATTTGATACAAGAATGTATTCCATGCTTGGTAAGAAAGATGAATATATAGCTTTTATGTTCATAAAATAAACACATGCCATTGATTTTGTTATTTGAATAATGATTGTGTCATGTTATATCATTATCTTCATTTCCCCAACATTAGTATAGATTCATTTGGGATCCTATATCTGGTGTTTAATTTGGTTTTGCTTTCAGGCTCAGGAGACTATTTTTTTCCAGATTTCCCCATCTGCAACATAGCCAGGAATTGTGAGTTAACATTGGATGGAATGTTAATCACTTTTTCTTTTCTTTATTGGATATTGTTTTGTAGCTTGATGCGTTGGATATCATTGAAAATAGGATATCAGGTCTATACATATGATGGGGTTCAGAACTTCCCACATCTTCTGAAAGTTTAGGTCCAACCAAGTGAACTTTCATGATTTCCATTCTGAGTATTTTCCATTGTATGACAATTACAAATAGGTTCGAAAATCTAACATGAATTTCTTTTTACGTCAGGGTATTTAGGAATTCAATGTGCTTTGTATGTGTTCTTCTTCATTATCATGATGTGAAAATATGAGTTGTAATAAGACTCTGTTGTATAAAGTTTGCTAGATATTTGTATAATAAACAGTTCATAATGTGGATGGGAAAACTTGGATGACATTGAACCTAGCTACTTTGCATTATTTTGTTCAAATGGTATGTGTGCCCAAATGCATTTAAGATTTCCTACATTTCCTTAGGCATTTATATTTAGTAAACCCCTAATACACTTCGGATGAATTTTAGATTCTGATATTGATGTACATAGATTTTAATATATTTCACATGTTTAATACAATTTAAAAACCCACAGCATCAGGCGGGTTCAATTGTTAGTGTAATCTAGATAGTAAGTCCATGGATGACTTTTACATACATGTGACTTGAGGTAACTTTAGGATGGTAGTCTTCTCAAGAATATAGGTTAAAGAGACCCTCATATGTGTGATCCTAACATTGTTCCTAGGTCAATGGATTATCTGAGTGGATATCTTATAATTCAGTAAGACTGATACACATTATGTATAGACAAGGTTAAGAAAACAAGGTGTATAGCCAATCTCGGACCATTAGCAAGACTGGGTTAGGACAAGTGTGTGAGTGCTTAAATGGATATTTAAGTTCACTAAACGCGATCGGTCCAAAGTTGTTGCATGCAGTCTTAAATGTCAAGCAAGTAATTTTGAATTGCAATTATGCAGACTAATCCTTAGACTTCAGCCATCATAGTTATAACATGGTTAGGCTGGTGATTTTGTTAATGTATCATACTCAATGGTTAGAAGATGTTACATCCATGCCATTTCCTTACCATTTCACTAAATGAAAGTTGAATACTCTATGATATGATTAAATAATTCTTAGCCAAGGTACTACGCATGATCGAGAAAAGATTCTTCATAGCCTAGAGGTAGTATCATGTATGTATAAAAGGATCACATTTGGGTTTGACATACACTATCCAAACCCTAAGGATGTGATTGAGAGTATTGTATAGAGAGAGATCGTACTACATTGTAAGGTGCAATTGAATAGGTTATCCTCATACATAAGGTATCAATTTAGTGACTATGATGTACGACTAGGTGTCACTCATAGTCAATGAAGCCTTGAAAAGTTGAATAAGCTCTTCACAATTAGGTGGATTAAAAGGTTGGTTTTTCAATCCGTCAAAATGATTTAAAGAGTTTGCATCGTCTCACTGTCTTGTCAATTAGAACCTAATGATCGTACACCCTATTCTTTGTATGAGATGACTAACAAAGTGTTGGAATGATTAATGCGATTACTTGTTATGAAAAAAAATGAAATGGTAAAAAAACTAATGAAAACATTTAATTAATTATCATAGTAACTTCAAGTCTAGTTTGGGTTTCGATATAATCTCGGGTTAATCTGGGCTCATTGGGCACTAGCCCACTTGGAC